TTATTGACATGCAATGATCTATTTACAGTAGAATGAGAGGGACAATGTGTGTTACAAGTGTAACAAGTAGAAGTTGTAGACAAGGCGTAAGTGGTCTTTACTACAAGGCTTGCATTGTTGCTCTTCAAGCAGCTTGGGCACAGGATGTACAACCCATCTTTGATTCTACCAATCACCAGAGGCCTCTTCATTGAAGGAGCCTGCAGTATGCAATAGTGTTTGACAAAAGCAACAAGATAGTTAAGATGAGAGTCCAAAGAGTGAACAGAGATCAAATTGTATCTAAAAGAGGGGACAAATATCACTTTGTCTAGGGTGAAAGGAGCGAGCATCATACTACCAATTTCTGTCACCTTTACCTTGTAGCCATTTGAAAGTACAACTAATAGAGGACATGGTAAAGTTACTATCTTGGTTAATAGGGATTTGTTAAAAGTCATGTTTTTTGATGCCCTTGAGTCTATAATCCATGCATCAGCTTTGTTTTTGAAATATTCACATGACAGTTTACCAAAATCAATAGAGGAAGTACAAGCTATAATACATGTAAAATTTGCTGCTCCCGATGCAATATTAGTACTAGTTATGCAGTCTCTTCCTCCTCCTGATTGAAACTATTGTAGTAGACTCACTAACTGGTTGTATTCCTCTTGAGTGAGACTCATATTCTGAGTATTATCATAATAAGCATATTTCTCAGTTTCGGCGGGTTGTGTATCAATGGTTGTTATATATGCATTAGCCACTGCTCTATTTCTTCTATTGAACCTATTATTCTGGATGTTATTGGAATTGCGATTGTAGTTGAAACTTTATCTAGGATTTTGATTGAAGTTGGAGGTCTGATTGTGATTTGTATTTGTATATGGATTCTGATTCTGACTGAAACTTTGAAGATATCCATGAAGCTTATAACATTTCTCTTTGGTGTGCCCTGATTTCTTACAATAATCACAAAAAGGTATGTTCCTATTGCAGTGATTGTTACTGGGAGAATAGTTTATCTTAAATGAACCAGGTCTATTTGTGCTAGCACTTAAGGCTGATGATTCTAGAGTTAAATGATTATTTAGCTTGATTTTTCTCTGCCTTTCCTCTTGAATTAGCAATTAAAAGGCTTAGGCAATTATAGGAAGAGGATTCATCATGAGTATACTACCTCGAACTACAGTGTATGTCTCATTCAATCCCATGAGAAACTGTATCAGCCTCCTATCCTGCTCAGATTTGTGTATGCTTTCCTTAGCTCCACATGTATAATTACAAGTGTAATGAGATTTGACAATCAAAGTGTTGAGTTTCTCCCATAACTTCTTCATTTTAGTGTAGTAACCAGCGATATCAAGGGCTCCTTAGGATATACCATTGATTTCCTTTTGGATATGGTAGAGTTTTGTTCCATTTGTTTGATCATATCGATCTTCAAGTTCTCTCCACAATTCAACTGCATCTGTTACATATTCCACACTATATGCAATTTCCTTAGTTAAGGAATTTAGAATCCATGAATTGACCATGTTATCGCATCTTTTCCATTGTCGGAATTTTGATGAGTCTGGATCTGGTCTCTTGCACTCCCCGTTGATAAATCCCAGCTTATTTTTCACTGATAGGCTCGCATTACATCCCTTCTCCATGATCGATATCCAAAACCATCAAATGGAACAGGAACCAATGTTGATCTGGGATTATCAGATGGATGCATATACAAGGGACTACTGATATCAACACCTGACTGATTAGGTGATTCAGCCATGGTCGGTGTAGATTGATCATCATCTTCGACAATAGTCATCTCGTACAGTATGAAATTTCTAAGTAAATGAGAACTAGAAAATAGTGATTACAGATCTAGAAGCAATTTCCAAGTGATTACAAAAATAAGAGAAGTTTGAAATTGATGAAAAATGAACTAGCATGTGTGCGATTTGATTGAAATTGAGATTGACGGAATTAGAACTAACATATTTAGAGAGACGAGTCCAAACTTACGCTCCTTTCTCTGACACCGTATCAAATTCGTCAATGTAACAGTAGCTCAAAGGTCATCTGAGCTTCAATACTGATGAGAATTGGACTTCTACGCCATAGGAGGTTACAACAAAGAGAATGAAGAAGGAGAGAGAGAGAGTGAAGCTTCTAGAATTTCATTTCTCTGAGATTAAAGTCTGAGTGGAGAGTCCACTATATACAAAACGAGAATGAGAAGAAAAATAAAATCAACTAACTAAGGCTACTACAGGTGTCACTTAACTAGCTACTAACCACTCCACTAACTGACAACTAACACTAACAACTCTTCTCCAATAACTAAGCTAGTGACTAAGCTAAGCTAAGTGAATAATTAATCTTAACATCTTAGGCATTAAAATTAGGTTAGATTTTCCTGTATCTCCTTAATTTAATTTCATCGGAATACCTGATCTTTTAGACCTATGTACTCCTCAAGAAACTCTCATCAGCACAATTCTAGTTGAAATGGTCAAACAACGGTTAAATTACAAAAAATCTAGAGTAATTGCTACAACCTACATTTACAAAAGTAAATAGACACTTGCTGAAATTAACAGTTTCGAAAAATCAACTAGAGAATTAATGTCCATCCAAATTGCAAGTTTTTATTTTAAGTCACCTAAGTTATCATCATCAACAAATTTATTGCATACTATCAAAATAATTGGAGTAATCTCACGGTAAAGTAACAATTCCCTAGTGAAATTTCAGTTTTAGCAATCCATAGGGCAATTCCAATAAAATAAATGAATACTCTCTCCGGCCCTTTTCCTTCCTCTCCCGTCTTATTTATTTGTCATTTTAATTTTTAACCATTTGAACACATTCTGAAAAATGATAATAATCGACTAATTTCTTATTTATCCTTTGATATTTTAATTTTTTTATCTCAATTTAAAATATTTATTAAGTAGTATGAGCAAAACTTGAATTAAATAAAAATAATTATTTCTTTCTAAAATGATAAATTACTTTTATCAAAAGTCATAAGCAAATGAGGTCATATCGGTGATAGAAACTAAGTCATCGTAAAAATTGCACGTGGGCCCTATTTGGTCGCGCCCATTTAACATGTACTTACTTTTTAAATTTTTTTAACTTGTACAATTGTTTAAACAACTTTAGGCTTCTTTCTCCTATTTCTTCTTCTTCTTCTTCTTCTTCTTCTTCTTCTTCTTCTTCTTCTTCTTCTTCGGATGATGATGATGATGAAGTGCAATTTTTTACTTTAGACTTATTGGCCTTTAAGTACATGAAACTATTAGTTGTACTTCAGACCTATTTGGCCTTAAGTGCATCTGAATTGCAATTTTTTGCTTCAGACTTATTGGCCTTAAGTGTAGGAAAACGTTTGTTGCACTTCAGATCTTTTGGCCTTAAGTGTATAAAGTGCAATTATTCACTTAAGACTTATTGGCCTTAAGCGCATGAAACATTGGTTGCACATCAGACCTATTTGGCGTTAAGTGCATCTGAAGCGTAATGTTTTTTTACTTCCGACAAATATTTTTTTAACTTCAGATCCGATAAGTCTGAAGTTGATCGTATAGTGGGTAAACTTGCAATTTTTTTTTGCTAAGTGAGTATAGGTTCAATTGTATTCCAAAACCGAGAATAGATGCAAAAGCCCCTAGGTCATGTCATGGGTAAGTTAAAAAGAAAGGTCAATTTTAGTTGAGATTGAACTGTAATTGCTATTATTATAAAAGAAAAAAGTTTTTGTATTGGGAATCTTTTGGGAATGTACCAAAAAAAAAAAATACTATTTACTAACAACTAGCCATTTTAGTCATGCTACAAAAAATGGTCAAAATAAATTATCAATGGTATACAGCATTCCAAAAAAATAGGCAAAAACATATATTTTTTCCGATGAGTATTATTGTGATTCATTGAAAACACATAGATGGTGCAATATAAAAAATTTGACGGAGTTTTGAAGACGAATTTGACTAGTTTGGAGTCAAAATTCATTACCTTTAATATACAATACTAAAAAAAAGGGCAAAAGAATTTTTTTTAAATATGTATGGTTGGAATTCGTTGAAAACATATAGATGAGACAATATACAAAATTTGAACAAGATTGAAGGTGATTTGGACTGGTTTGGTATCAAAATTCGTAGTTAAAATCGAGTTAAAAAGATTATTTTGTGCCACATGTATCAAACATGTATCACGTATGTATCTCATAGAGAGGTTTACATGGATATACATGTGATACATATATGATACACAAATATACACAGTGTGAAACACATATAATCATTTTTTATGTTCATCTTCTACTTCAAATTTTTAATCCAAACCACCTCAAAACTTTATCAAATCATCACTCCGTAAGACGTACTAAATCTATTCTAATAACACTAATTCAAAAATAGGAAAAATTTGACCTTCTTTTAGCTAGAAATAACTAATTAACAAATATTAATAATAGTTGGCTAATATTAATAATATTTTATGACTTGACTAATTTTTATAATAAGCTATTTGTAGATTAACTGATAGTTTTCCTTTATATACCATAAATACCTATTTTATTATAAACAATTAAAAATAGCTATAAAAAATAATATTTTAAAATGATCTAAGTTTATACTAAATAAGGCGTATACCTTTATAATAGGAGGTAAAATTTCCTTTATATAATTTGGAATGGCTCGAAATCATCAACAGTTGTACAGAAGCCCATATCGGCCCATCAAAGGCCCATTCATGTTCCGTATAAAATTTCGGGATTGAAATTCCTATTTTAACCTTCTTCGAAAGAAGTCGCTTAACGCATCTCGATGTGTACTCATTCTCCTTTGCTAAAATTCCATAAAAGCCACTAACCAACCCATGTATTTCCAAATCTAGACCCACTTCTCGTTACGGAATTCTCAATTTCTCATGCCTTAACGCTTCTTTACCTAAGCCCCTCCCGCACCCCCACCCCCACCCTACCCTTAGCACGCCCCACGAAAAAAACTCCATTAATAAATCTACTAGACTACTTAGGTTTTTTCCACTTCGGTTTTATTTTTCTTTTTCATCTATAGTTAGAATTGAACACAACTTTATCTATCTATCTTGTAGTTGTCCCTGTCTTCTTTCTTCCCTATTACCCTTTCGATTTTTTTAAGTTTGCCTTATACATATTTTTTGGACCTGGGACGTGCCCAATCGACCATTATTTCTTAGCATAAAAATCTGGTCACCACGCATTTATTATATCTTCCTTTATTTTCCCCTAGCACTGCAACAATTCCTTAGTCAAAAAACGAAATTGACACCCCCCCCCCACAAAAATTTCTAATCCCCCCATCTCCAAATCTGCACCCACTGCAAAAATTTCTTAGAAATTCTTGATCTCTGGTTTAAAGGTACATTACCTATCATCTCTTTCATACCTGTATTTTAGCTTAGACAATATTAGTGTTGATATACATACATATATGTAACATTTTTTTATTTGTGGGTTGCCATGGACCTATGTCTTCATACCCAAATACGACAAGCAACATGCACCAGTAAACCCTTAAGCACCAAAGCAAAAACCCACTTTCCTTTGATTTAATTTTTATAATTGACTAATTACAAAGATTCCTAGGGCATGCACGATTGATACATACATTTGGGGTAGGTCAATTCAATTTGGTACTTTTTAATTTGGACCCACCTTTTCAATTTTGGTTACTAGGCTTTGTCATAGTACATTCTTGATCTGTGCAAACAATTCAATTTTGATACAGTTAGGGTTCTTATTGTCTTGCTGCTAAGTGATAATTAAGATAATATAGCATTTTGTAATTGTGTTTGATTTGTTAATTTGCAAGTTCAGACACATTGTTTTGAAGCTGCTGTCTTTGATTATTTGTAGTGATACCATTTTTCTGAAAGTGTTACAGTTTTCCTAGTAACTCTCCAGCTTATCGTACAAAATTGACATGAAATTCTGGTCGTGTTTCAGTGAATGTCATTAGTTACAGTTGAAATTAGAATGAATTATGGTCTAACTTAAATTGTGTAGCAGTCCATTAAAGGTGGACTGCGAAGCGGATGCTGAGATGGACAGCTGAAGCTTTCCGTTGAAACAGTTGAATTATTAGTTTGTAGAGCGGGATTCGACATGGATTAGTACTTGAACCAGCAGAGATAGTTTACTGATTCGACTGATAGAATTGGGCATTATTTACTTTATATTTGTCTGTGCATTATTTTTTTTCCTAGTTTTGGTTTCAGAAATTTCTTCGCCTTGATAGCATCGCTATTAATATTGTTGTCTTCCCATCATCTTCATCCTGATAGCTTACATCCGTTGTTTGTTACTTTTTGGTTAGTCTAACTTACTAGAAAGTAAAATAGATAATTAAGAAGGAAAGTGAGGACTTCTGTCAGATAAAATATGCTGCATTTTCCCTCTCAAATCTTTCAGATATAAAAGATAATTCTCTCTTTTCATTCCTGATAGGTTTTTGGGATCCATTTTTTTCTATAAGTAATCAAAGATTTTATAAATGCTTGCACTAAGCCAGTGCGACAAAAACATAACTACAAAATGTGCAAATCCCCTATTGTGTCTAAAATTGGTTTTTGGAATTTGTTTTCTGGAAATAAGAAAGATAATATTTTAGAACATTACTCGTACTAATTTATGAAAAACTTTAAATTTGAAAATTTGCATATATTATACCTTCTTGTTACTTCCATTAAAGATAAAGCTATCTCCTTTCTTGAAGAAAATTATTATATTATGGCGTCTATGTGTGTTCGTGTGCGTGCATAATTTCCCCCTTTTAACTATAACTTTGCTGTTTTGAGTTTAAAATACCTGTAATAGGTCTACTGACCTGATTGTCTAAATGAAGTGCGATTATCTACTTAGATTCCTTACGGAGTTTCTAGTATATTCTCAAGTTTCCCAGCAAAATGCTTAGCTGTTTTTAAAAGATTTATTTTTTCTAAATTGTATTTGATCAGTAGGTCTATAAGTGCGAATAATATGACGGGAGCAGAATTAGTTGCAGATTTTGTAAAATACATTCAGCTACAGTACTAATTGTTAGAGGCAATATGATAAATACACACATTTTGTAAGGTAATAAAATTCTTCATGCAACCTAAAAGAAAAAGAGATGTTTGACACTAGCAAATACACTTGTGAAAGTTACCTTCTTATGTATTATTTCACCAAGGCTGGATCCATGAAAAGAAGGCTTGAATAAGCCCTTACTGAAAGTTGAATTGTATAATTGCTGAAATAGATTCAGTTGGTTGCCTATTTGCTAATTGTTTGTTAATTGCAAGTTTTGCAAGTTCAATGGATTTTTAACAGTTCAATTCAATCGGAAGAGTTAGTCTAAATCAGTTAAATGCCAACTCTGTGTGGCACGTGCTTTAAGATTTGAGTTCTAATGGATGAATTAATAGAGATTGTCTGGAAATATTCTGCCCGCTACTTCAAAAGATTGACATTGCTCCTGTATGCAACCAAGTTAAAAACTTGAAATAGGTGCATGTTTTAGTTTGTCATAAGTTCTTGTATTTGGCATTGAAAAAAGTAGTAACTTATATTTATACAGCTTATTGCTAAGAAAATAAACTGTATGCATGTAGTTTGCCTCAGAGGTTTGTAAATTTGTTTATTCTTAGTATTTTTGGATTACTTGTTCAAGGTACTGGTCAGAGTTTAGCATATAGTATAGAGGTTGAATTGATTACCAAAACCATACAACCATCGTATGGCAGTGAAGATTATTTTCTGCAATTATGGAAGTGCTCCCATGTTCCAATGTATGTTATGTCACGGAGTCTGATTGCCCTCAACAAGGCTCTGGAACTACTCTTATGTATGGTGGAAAATCAAACCACCTTGAACATGCAGAACAAGTTCAAGCCGGTGATGTGAAAGTCGATGACATAGTTCTTAATACGAAGGTGTGCCAGGAAGAGAAAGCAGATGGACATCAATGCAACGTTGAGGAATTACCAACTCCAGACGGGCTCCCTACTGGAGATGCATATTATGATTTTGGAGGAGATAACCAAATGCTGTCGAATGATTTCCATGATTCTGGAGATGACAATGTTGAGGAACATGACCATGTTACAAGACCTGGCCTGGCGTCTGAGCGCCTGCAGCCAGTTGTTGACAACATTGAAATTGGAGTCCCTAACACTAACCAGGTGGTGGGATCCTCTCCCTGCGAGTCCAAGTGGCTTGAAGAAGATGAACCTCTAGCTGTATGGGTCAAGGTAATTATTGGTATTTGGTCATTTTCTCTCAGTATATCTCTCTATAACCTTTTTGCTGAGCTTTTCCTATTTTGATAGAGACCTAGTTGGACCCGTTGATTCTTGTGTTTGCTTAAATGATCTTTAAAAGTAGATAGCAACGTAACATGTTCCTGCATGTTTTTGTTTGGCAAAGGAAGTGGTTCCAGGTGTGAGTTGTCAAACTGAACCCGATTTTCACTTTGGAAGTCTTAGACATGAGGCCAAGCCATTTAGCTGTATAGAATGAAAAACAATTTTCTTTTAAAAAAGAAAGTTCTGCACATCGATTAGCCAAGTTTAGTGAGTCTAGGACATATTCTCTTTTAATGCAACAGATTGAAAATGTTACATCAAGTTTCTATGGATTGATGAGATCATGAAGATACTTACCATTTTGGCTGATTAGATAGATTTCCTTTCTTTCCTTTTTTCATGTACTAAGAGGGATCTCTGAAATTGCTGAAAAAGGATTTTTGTCATGGCACATTACTTCCTTTTCTTTCGGTGAAGTTGAGTAACTTTTGTCAATAACACACCAAGATGGTGTCAAAAGTATGTACATATATGTCTCTACCACAGTAATCTATCAAACTATCATAATTAAATATGCGAAAGGGGATCCTCTCTTTACATAGTAGATATAAATGAATAAAAAATAGAAGTAAAGAGTAATATCAAGGAACATATGAGATGAGGCAAAGTCGACTTGTAAAATTGATGTTGGACTTAATTGGTTGGTCGACTTGTAAAATTGATGTCTGTCCATCTTAAGTAGCAAATTTGTATTTCCTTTCTATGCTCTAAAGCACTGTAGAATAATTTCCGTGTACAATATGTTGCTCTTTGTAAATTATAATTTTATGGAAGCACATTCGCATTTTGCCTTTGTTTCCCAACTCCAATACCCTCCCCGACCCCACCTCCCTCTCCTCTTCCCTGCACCAAATGGGAACCCCCCCCCCTAAAAAAAAAAAGCAAATAAGAAAAAAGATTGGTTACTGATGATTCTCTATTGATTTTGCATATTCTGTAGTGGAGGGGCTTGTGGCAAGCAGGAATTAGATGTAAAAGAGCTGATTGGCCATTATCGACTCTCAAAGCTAAGCCTACACATGAGAGGAAAAAATATCTTGTGATATTCTTTCCTCGCACCAGAAATTATTCGTGGGCTGATGTGCTCCTTGTTCGCCCAATAAATGAATTTCCGCATCCCATTGCATATAAAACCCATAAAGTTGGGGTGAAAATGGTGAAAGACTTGACTCTTGCTCACCGTTTTATCATGCAAAGACTTGCTGTCAGCATACTGAATATTATTGATCAATTACGTGCGGAGGTTTGCATTTGAAGCTCATATAATATATAGAGATACACTGAGACACACACTCACGTTTGGCTCCTGCTTGTTTTTCACTTTGTTATTTCATCTTTTTAAGTTAACATTGTTACTCGACTCATGTAGGCTCTAGAAGAGACTGGTCGCAATGTGATGGTATGGAAGGAATTCGCAATGGAAGTTTCCCGCTGCAAGGATTATCCTGATCTGGGAAGGATGCTTTTGAAACTTAATGATGTAAAATCTCCCATCTTTGAAGCTACAGAAAGATGCATACGATCCCCCTTTTTTGTGTTTCCTTTTTCCAGCACTCTCCTTGTGGTTCATGACACTAAAATCTGGTTCCTGAACTGCATTTTTTTTTCTGACACTGCAGTGCCATTCTTTTGCGTTTTTGTTCTAAAATGATAATGTATCTTATGTGGATTCTTCTTCTTTGGATGTTAAAGAACTGTCATCTTTAACTGTCAATTTTGTTGAACCCTCTGTTGATCTTTAAGCTAAGTAGAATGACCACTTGCCAAAGGTTGTTGTGTCCAAGTAGGCCTTTGTGGCTGACAAAAACATCTACACTTTGGAATTTTGATGCTAGCCAAATTTGTTGACAAACTCTAACTTGGTTGAAATTTCTTTTCATTGGCTGACAGCTGACTTTTTGACCAATGAGTCGACACACGTGCTAACATGGCCAAAATGGGAATGCTTTTTTGGGCTTTCATGCGTCTTATCATGAAGATTTTTCCAAATGGATCCCTTGAGTTAATACTTTCTTTGATAAAGTATAGTAATGACTGCAATAATGTATGTTTGTCCGTGCTACGTCAAGTGGAGAGTAAAATGAGTTCAGTTTACCCAACATCCATGCAACAATGTATGTAGTCCAGAAAAGGATAGAAATGTACAATAAGGAAAAAGGCCAAAGCAAATAATTGTGATTCGTAGAGGACCAGGGTTTGACTCCTGATGGCTTCCACTGTACTTATTCTGGCTTGGCCTGGAATAATGCTTCTCTTACTCGGCCTGAAATAATGCTATTCTTTCTCAGCTTGGAATAATGCTAGTCTTGCTTCTGCCCGGATAACACAATCACTTTCTTCTGCAGATGATACTGCCGTCATATAAAAAAACATCTTCGATGGAGTCTTGGATTCAGGGCTGTCAGAATGCAAACAGTGCTGAGGCAATTGAAATGCTGAAGGAGGTAAATCCCTAAATGATGCTCATATATGCGCCCGTTGTGTTGTACATCTGTCCATTAAATTTTCATTGTTTGTTTTGCTATTCTTTTGTTGTCTTTTCCTTGAGTGAAAATTTCATTGCTTCTGGTAATAATGATTAATTAACTATTACATATGTGTACTTGACTTCTCATGATTGAGTTTTTGTTTGTTACATTGGAAGACTTTAGACTTTATTCTACACCACTGATGCAGTTATATGGATAGGTGCTGCTCTTTTGAGAGCTGATTGCTGCCTTGGAATGTGAAGTTTGCAAGAACTGAAGTATGATTGTTGTTGCCACATAAGAACATGCTTCATTGTCCTTGCTCTCTCCCCCCCC